AAATTTTTTAGGGCATACCAAATCATCAGAATCCAGGATGCTTCCTGGACCTGCAAAGGGGGCTTGCGCAGCCCCCTTGACCCCCCGCGTATTTTCCGCTGAATTTGCAATTTGCTGTTGGCAGCCCTGTACTCTGTGAAATTATAATCAAACAAATGTATGATTTACACTCTTCCAGAAAAATCATTCAAACCTAATATCAAATCTGCGAGCAATGAACGAGCCATTGTTTACAGTGACGGAGCTGCCCGCAAGTCTGGCCGACAGCAGTGAGGAGAGTAAAGATGAGACGCCGGTAAACCCGTCTGCACCGAGAAGTAGAAAAAAAGGCACCGTGGAGCTCAATCCTCCAAATATTCATATAGAACCGCCTCCCCCATCTTCAAAGGTAGTACTGAGATTTAAATTACTTAATTGTAATTTTCCAAAAGTGTTGAAATAGAATGGCAGTTTTATTATAATCATTTTGCACTTATGCTTTAAGATGATTTTTTTTATGTAAGTGCCACAGGGTGAGAACAGTGTGCGGCATGACAGGAACTCGAACACGGGACCTTCTGAATAGCGTACCGCAGCTCTACTGACTGAGCTATCAGTTCTGAACCTTGACATAAGTTTACATATTTAAAGGTCAAAGGTTTAAAATGTACAAATTTTCTTGATTAGACTATTTTACTGGTACTTGAGATTTACAATTTGCAGGCATGTTATTTTACTTTTATTAGACATCAATAAATTATAATGTATGACTACTATAGCTACAAGGTCAAGGTCATATTCTTTTCCATATTACATTCAGTCATCTTCAATATTTGCCTCATTTGAATATTATGAAAAAGTTGAAATACCAGATAACAGAATTTACACCATGTAGTTTTCAGCATGGGAAATTTGTAGTTATCAGTTTCAATATTTGGTAGCATATGTAACATACTGTTTATATGCAAAGATCATATTCCATTGTGGTAAGTCCTGTTGTTAAGTTAGAACAAGTATCTAGAATAGCCTTTTATTTCAGTCACCCAGTATGAGACGTTACCTCACACCACAATTAAGTGATGCTTCACAAAAAGAGAGGGAAAGAATGGGTGTGAAAAAGAAGTCCAATAGATTAAGTACAGGTATTTCCTAAATCAATGTTGATATCTTGATAAATCAGGTGCACTAGTTGATATAAAGAACATTTTAATTTGGATTTATATTGAATTCACTTATTTAAAGGCACATCATGCCTTAGAAATGAATATTTTCCTTCTTAAGATAGGAGAAAAACAGGAGTCTTATAACATTGAAATAATGGTTTGAGATAATGTTAGATGCTTATCATATAAAAAAATGAGTGAGAAGTGAAATTTTTTGTCATAAAAGTATCAAAATGTAAACAAAGTGGTATTTTGACTTTCATACAAAATACTAAATCACTATAACTGCCCCTATGACTGCTCTAATTACCCAAAGGCAACAGAAGCAAAACATAGTGTAGCTAACTTGCCAAAGAGTAACTATTAAAAAATATTTGGAACTAAAGCAGGTCACGAAAAATAAACAGTTTTTTGAGAAAGAAAAATAAAATAATTTCTTGACTATAAATTGGGCTTTTAAGATTTCAGACCTATGTTAACAGATATTTGTGTACATTTTTGTTTTTGATATTTTCAGGTAAGACCCTAGGTGCTGGGTTAAGCCTAGGACATCTTACTGAGATACCATCTGAATATAGTAATGAGGGAGGTAGTGAATCATCTACATTAGTTGGACATCATGTCTCGACCGATGTTAACTCGTGGTGGAAGGAACAACTGTTTGTCCCCGATAAACGTGAGTGAAGGAACCCGAGGTGGAAAGAGTAACTGTTTGTCCTGGACATATATGAAAAAAGGAACAATTGGAAGGAGTAAATCCTTCCATTAATCAAAAAATGCATCAAAGCAATCTAATAAGGTGATATATGAGTTACTAGAAACACCAACATTGTGTTCATTTATTGGCAAACTGTGTAGGTTGGAAGAATTCTGCTATGATCTAGATGCATGTTAGAATGTTAGTGTTATACTTATATCTGTTATCATTTTCTTTAATTAAATAATGATATTTATTTATACATTCATTCATGTATTAGATAAGCATTACCAATGGGATTATCTTGTTAAATACATGTATATTGAAATTATTATTTATGTAGGAAACTATTTTTGTGACTGAAAAAGGTCTGGAATTTGAAAAATTTATTGATATTTACTGTGCTGATCAAGGTTTTTATTACAGAATGTCTTGTTCTAAGATTTCAGCACAGTTATTTTGTATTGTTATATTAATTTAACATTTTGAATGATAACAGCATTTTTGACATCTCTATGTCTACCATTATAATGAAAGGCCAACCTGTACACCTGTGCAGTCATATCAGGTCCTATACACTTGGTTACGGGTTTTAGTTTTAAAACTGTCAGTCTCTGGAATTTAAAAATGTTCTGTCTAATACATAGAGGATATTGAATAAGTGTAAGGTTCAATACTGAAGTTAATGAATGAGTTGAATACAATTATTTTTATAAAAATATTATTTTATTCAACAATTTCAATAAATTCAGTAATAATTCTACACGGATGTAATATTCTATTTATCACATAGTCATACCCAAAGTTAAGATTTTAAATTGCAAAAGAATAATTTTTCATTGAGGCGCCTGTAGGGTAACGCTAACATTTAGCTGTGTTTACACTATGTTTGTATAATGTAAATGACGTCACGTCAAAATATATGCACGACTGTGCAATACCATTTTTATGGAGAGCAAAATCGGCACAGGTATGTTATAGAAAAATATAGTATACTTGGTATTAATGAATTAATTTTAAATAGGGTTGCTTAGTATTCTCGACTTGCTTATACTGATATATATATATATATATATAGTTTTGGAGGCATCAATCTCTTACTGATTCATTGTAACTTACAAATAAATTATTCAGTGAATGAATATTATTTTTGCTATAGAAAGGTCTTTGACAGATCAAACAACTAAACATATTGTTGCAAGCAGGTCTTGCTTATTTTACTATTTAAATGATAACTTTATTTATAGTTGTTCATTATTTTTTGTAGAATTCTTCTTTTCTCTCCGAGCCCAAAATCAATGTTATATGAAATTTAATAATTTACAATTGTTGATTATTTTTTGTAGAATTCTCTTTTTCTCTTCGAGTCCAATAATAACGGTATATGAAATTTTAATAAGAATATCATGTAGGTTATCTCCCTTGCAGAAATAATTGAAGACTGTACAAATGTGTTCTTTTTTTGCTTTTGGTGTTTTTTATGTTGTGAAAACGGCACATATCATTATGTAACTTAAAGCTAAACTTTATAAACAGTGTAACTTCTGTAGAGCGACCCTCTGTAGAACAATAACCTCTTTATAACAACCGTTTCAAATATTTCTATTGTCAGACTTGATTATCACTTTACAGTAACCACCATAGAGAATAACCTCTCTTCAACCTCTCCAAAATGATGTTGCTTTACACCAGTTGTACTGTATTCTGTTCATGTACAAGCATTTATGAAAAAAATGTGAAATTAACATTGATGCATTCTTTTTTTGAATACATGATTTAAAATATAAATTACCTGTAACAAAAATGAATCATCTATATAAATTGTAACCATAAGGGACTGGATTCTTTCATGTGAGGAAGCTATCCAGCTAGCATACGGAACGGCGGTGGTTCTACTCAGGTGACTGTTCGTGCCTGATATAATGCACGGAAGGGCACCTGAGGTCTTCTTGAACCAGTAAAGCTGGAACGTCGCCAAATGACCTATACTGTGTCGGTGTGATGTAAAACCCAATCAAACAAACAAACAAAAGTTTTAATGAATAAATTAAGGAACAGGTTGTTGTTGTATTTTGTTTAACATAGTTTTAATGTAATGTTATCCGTTTTTATACAGTAGTTGATTTTAGAGACAATATATTTGCAACTTCTTTTTATCATTTTATTTCACTAAACAACATAAGTAAACAATGTACATGTACATGTAGGTCGTTGAAAGATTATGAGATCTTAAACAATTTGAATTGTATATTATACAAATACACGATTTTACATGTATTTAGATAAACGTGAATAGAATTTTGTTTTAATAAATATTGTTTTTGAATGATTTTCTTTTATTGTTGTTATATTTGTCCATGTGACACATATAAAAAAAATGAAACTGTATTTGATCTGGGTTACTGAATTGCATATCAGTATTCAAGATTTTATCAAGATGTCAGTATTCAATATTTTATCAATTGAAATATCGGTAGTGTTTGGTTGAGAAAAAAAAAGAAAAATTGATTTTTCTTATCAGCTAATAACTAGCCCAAATTTTAATCACTGAAATATAAATGAAGGTGAGTATTTAGTCTCGTAAGTTCTATTATATCAACATTTTATCTTCATTATTTGAAGGACAAAGTCATGGTTCTACTTATATCACATGCAAACTTGATATTACTTGTACTGGCAAACGTTGTATTGTTAGATAAACATGTTTGTTAAGACGACTATATTTAGACAAACTTTTGTAAATTAACAAGAAATGGATGATTATCGGTGTATTCTTTCATATAGTCATTAAAACTTGTATATATTGTTATATATAACAATAGAGAGAGTTGCTTCAGAGCATAATAACCCTGATGTTAATCTGACTAGTGTTTTCAGAGTGGCAGAAATAAATTATGCATAATAATCATAGCAGTTACACCCTACAAAAACAAAGGTCTAGTTTAGTACTTTTATGCCAAATCGAGGTCCATAACTCTAATCTCCGATAAAAAATATGCGAGTAATTTCCAAGGAACGTAAATTCATATGAAAACAAATATTCTTAGTTTTGTGGCTTTAGCAGTAAACTTTTGAAGTTGCACGTGACACAACTCTTAAATTCATATTTGTAGCTGTATCTATCAGGTAGCAAAATTGCTGATCTGCAAAAAACCTAGGTATGTACGGTCACATGTTAACAACTATTTTAAGAATACATGTTTTTCATGGCTGTAGCTGTTGTGGGAGTTACACGCGACACAAATCTAAACAATTTTGCGCTTAATCAGGGGGCATAACACTGCCGGTACGATAAATTTTCGTCAAAATACCAAGGTTTGTATGTTCACATGCTAGCAATTTTTTTTCTAGAAAGTTTCACGTCAATTATATGCAAACCTACCTACGCCAAGACAGCGTGTTTGAGGTACGGACTGACGGACGGGGGCAAATCTATACCCCCACCCCCAATAAAAGGGGAATGGGGCCACCATGAAACAGTCTATATTTAATCAGTGAGTTTCAGGTCTCCAGCAGGTTTTAGGAGTTCTAGGTGACACAAGTCGACAAATGGCATGTTAACTTAAACAGGGGGCACAATTTTGCTAGTGTCCAATAAACAGACTGCCCAGATGCGCAAGTTCCCAGGGTGACAAAATCTTACAACGTTACATGGCTTAATCAATTATATATTTGGAATTACATGCAACACATACCTATTTATGCCTGAACAACGTGACGGAGGTAGGATTGACGAACAAGTCAAATCTATATCCCCCCACCACCACCATAAAAAAGGGGACAGGGGCATTTTACATCCCACACCCGTTAACGATACAAATATAAAGGTGCTTTCTTGATAATGACAGGTGAATATTTCACCATATTTCCATCAATAATGACCAGACAAATAAGCCATGCCTGTGTAGCTACGCCGTTGGTGAACATATTTCATCTCCTGTCCTTAATTACATGGATACAAAAATACCTTTAAAAAATCGGATAATAAAAACCAGAACAAGTCGTTTAAATACCGTCTCACTGATATCAGTTAACTTTATTTTGTCTGATAAAGATGTTAACTGGTACTTGTAGAGCCTTATTGAGACCGGTAATTGATTCCTGGCGTTATATAAGTGTAGTTAAATACGGAAGTAGCATTTTAATACGGAAGGAGATAATGCGTTTTCTAAGCGATAAGGTAGTTATTTCAATGGGAGGGGATTTTTTTTTCAGAATAACTCTGTTATCAGTGTTTTAAATACTTCGCATGATAGGGCACTTGACCAGTAATAAAAGCAATAAATTTTCCGAAAAAAAAATCATGTAAAGTAAATAAAAATACAAGGGGAATGGGGTACATATCTATGTAAGTTTTTTAATATATTATAACTTACAGCCCTTACCCATTAAAAATAAAAAAAAGGTCTCGAAAAAGGTCATGTACACATTTGAATTTTTTAAGCAATACCATTAATGAATGACAAAGACAATAAGCACCTTAAATAAAACACAATACAGTATTATATAATTATCATTAAACAAATTAAATAAGCATATATATATGCATACGTGCACTGTAATATAAGTACGTACGTCTTCAAAGTTACTGAGTGCATTTGAATGAAACACTGAGTCAAATTTTGAACATGATTATCAGGAATTCCAAGGGAATTCTAGTTGTCAATTTTGAGACAATAACCAAGTTGTCCTTGCAGTAAATTTTCAACATAATAATTAGCAAGTCTGAGGAACTTCTGTTTTCAATTTTGAAATGATAACCATGTGGTAAAGGCAAACTGAGATAGTAGTAACACGTATTCAAATATTGTTACTTTTAAAAAAAATGTTTGTTAAATGGTGTATGATTACAAAAAGATCATGAATAATTTGTCTCAGGTAGAAGCATGTAAAATAGGAAGATATACCTATTTCTTATCGCCAAAAAAATCCTAACTTCGGTCAATATCGTAATAAATCGGTCATTTCCGGAACGTTATTTTCACAATTTTCGGTATTCAATAATTCTTAACCGTTTATAACCGGAATTTAGTACATAGTGAATTAAATAAATAAAAAATGCTATTAATGATTTTGACCAATGTAAGATTTTTTTTGTGGTAAGTCTACTCATTGGCATGACTTTTTTTCAGGAAGAAAACTGTTCTATAAATATATAGTACACATGTACATGTACGTATATGCGTAGCTATAATTTTTATTCGAGCATTGTGATTTATATGTTAAATCATGATTAAATACAACATGCAAAAACTAAACCATACACGTGTATAAATTGACTTAAATGGTTCGGAGAGGTCGAGCTTTTTAGTTTGATAAATAGTGCTTATAAAGATAAAAACATACAGACGTCTTGAAACGATTTTAATTTATGTCTAATAAACTTTTAACTTTAAGTGCATTCCGGATTTTAAGTCAAATCTGTTGAACACTCCGCTGATTAAGTCATATTTCAGGCCTCCTTTGGACAAGTAAATAGGGAAATAAGAACTTTCTCACTGCGCCTGGAAATCAGCTACTTTAAAAAAAATCAGTTTCTATCATGTCTTTTTCATTTCGGAATTCAAGTTTAAACAGATTATGTATAGATATCATTATGATTTTCTTCATTCTTGGTATCAAGATTCTGCAAGTGACTTTTATAATGAGCTCATTGGTGAAATTCTAACTTGATACAAGCATAAAAATAAAGCATGTAAATTGATTCATAGAATAAAGATAAAAGATATGAGTCCATTATTAATGATGAAATGTAATGATGATATATTAATGATGAAAATAATTATTAAAACGAAAATAATTATTAAAACAAATAGTTTTCTTGGAGGGACCTACGGGTCGAGTTGCCCCTTATCGTTTTTGGGTTTGAATTCCTCTATTGTCTTTGGATTCTTTGACGTGAAGAAACTATCCGGCTTGCTTAAGGAAGGTCGGCGGATCTACTCAGGTGCCCGCTTATGTCTGAAATAATGCGCGAAGGGGCATCCGAGGTCTTTTTCCACCACCAAAGCTAAAAGGTCGCTACATGACCTTGACAGTGTCGGTGTGATATAAAACCCAAACGAAATCTTAATGCATCACAATAGTCGATATAATTTATACAATCTGTGAAGACTTAAATGTATTGGGTGACAAATGGAGCATTAAACAATCGTACAATAATCATGATAAAAATTGAAAAGTAACACGCTGGTTTTGGAACATAATTTATAATTTACATGTAAATGCTGTCCGGACGAGTGTGAAAATCTTTTATCTAAACTAAGTTATTAATTGTAAGAAAATACTTATAAACGAAATCTGTCAGCCGCACACTGTCAAACTTGTCTAGCAATGACATTTGGGATATGTTTCAATTGTCATGTGGGTTCTCAAATGTACGATTTTTACATTGGAACGGTTCAAAGTCGGATCTAAAATGGTAGCCATTAAATGTTGATTTCTGTTTGTGATTTTTTCCATGGTAATTATTCACGTATGGTCCTAAACACAGGTTTATTTAAAATGTATTAAGGTAGATCATTATTCTGTAAACCCAGTTGTGGTCTTTCCATATTCCTTGGAAACACTTGAGATGAATTTATTACGTAACATCGTCTTCTGAAAACTTGGCCAACTTTTGACCTAAAGTCCTTGGTGCCCAGCGCGTATATAAGCGGATTCAGAAACGAATTAGAGAAGCCGAGTACCAGTAAATGAGTTCCAATTATCTCCTGCAAAGAACAGTTTTTTGAAGTTTGAAAAATTTGAACAGTAGAAGCTACCAGGAACGGGAGCCATGTTATTACCACACAACCAAGAACGGCAGCTAATGTTTTAATGGACCTCAGGTTTCTGGTTGAAATCCCAAACACTCCGCTGTTCCTTTTATCTGATTGTATCTTTTCAATGATTTCTATTTGCTTGATATGGAATCGTGCACTTTTAAATAAAATTCCATATATTATGAACATAATTGTTAACGGTATCACGGCGGAAACCATAAATATGAATACTATATAATATTTCGGCAGCACGTACATGAACGAACAATAAAACTTGTAAGAATCCGGATCGTTCTTCCACCCTGCCAATGGCAGAAATCCAACAATCATTGACGTTACCCAAGACCACGTGATCCCAATAAATGTTTTCTTTTTAGTCAAAATTGATTTATACAGCAGCGCTCTCGTCACGGCGACATACCGGTCCAAAGCTACACAAGTAAGAGACCAAACCGAGGCGGAAATGGCTGCAACGGTGAACCCGATCCTTGCCAAACACAAATCTTGATTTTTCTCGTTAGCTTTGGTTGCTATGGTGACAATAGAAACAAAACCAACAAATAAATCCGCTATTCCAAGTGATGCCACAAAAATATATGTCGGCGTATGAAATCTTTTGTTTAGAATTATAAATAAAATCACAAGTAAGTTTGTCAAGAGGATTAAAATAGTAAGAGGAATCAATTCTTTTTGTTTAATTTTTTCATGATCGTTGTCGGGAAGCTGTGGACACACGTTGTCGTCATAAAATGTTGCGTTTCCGAGCGTTCTCATCAGACGACAATCTCCATTTCCATGAGCACATTCCTTGTTTCTCTGTTCTTGTGCCACCATAGGAACTATTTCTATCCAATTAACTGGCGAGCCAGTTGTGCTGGCTGTTGACGGAGTAGTGATTTTTGAGAACATTTGTGTCACTTTGACTTAATAAAATATTAACATCGGCAACAGTTAGTCAGCTTGTGGTCTTGTGCTCTTTTACGTTAAAAAGCCAGACAACAAAATTGTTTTGAAGTCGAGAAAAAAAGTGAACAACGTTGCAATATCACTTCCGGACAGTGTATTTTGTAAGTTCAGCCATAATTTGTCTTTTCTACTGCTCGAAACATTCACCATTCTTCGATTCACGTTACTCTGTATTTTAAATATTAATAAGTTAACAATTTTTATATCACAAATTCAGTTAATCAGTTCACATAATTATATCCGTTTTTTTTGTTCTCCGCTTTCTTTCTGGTCAAGACAACACGGAACTTCAGGTGTTTGATAGCTTCTAGAGGCAGTTGTATTCACCGTTGTATAAGGAAACACTTCATATGAGCTTCAATATCAAATATTTCTCTTTATTGAATACAGAGCGCGCCGCCACTTCTTACAGATAACTTATCAAATTATAACGGCAAGGTAAGGGTATAATAAACACATGACAGTCTTTAATTAACAAGTTTTCGATAAAGCATGCCAAAACAGTATACATGTATCTCATCAGTGACGAGAAAAAGTGCATGTTATAAATTTGTTCAAGTGTGATTTTCAAGCGTCATTGATAAAAATTGATCTTTGTTTATATCAATACATATCCAAGCACGTTCTAACACTATTGTTTGCTGATATATCCTTCTATTTCAAATTTTGTCACTCACTTCAGTTGAAAAAATATCTACATGCATCCATTTCTAGTGTACTACGAACAAGAACATATATATTAAGCGTTTTAAAACATTATTATCGGACTGATTTTATCAGCACTAATACTACAATTTTATTATTTTCAACTAAATATATGTAATTGTTACACCCACTTTAACTGGAACCAAATATTTTCAGACCGTTAAAATGTAAATTGACTGTAAATTACGTTCGGATAATCATTGTTTAAACACTCTCAATTTTCTTTTTTATTCTCCTTTATCCGCGTTTGTAAATAAAAACATAGATTACACTATCTGAAGGTCTAGTTTCTCATTCTTAAAGGTTTCCAAAAATAGACATTCGGTCTTTATTAGTAAAAATCTGAATCTTATCACAGATACACAAAATGTGCAATTAATTTCAGTCTATAAAGAAACGATCTAGATAGTGAAAAGCCGAATAATATCATACTTTTTTCTGACACAGATTTTAGATGCGGTTTATCGGTAATAAATATGGTGGTCTTTGACTGAATTAAGTTTTAATAGGGAATTAAGCTGATAGTCAATGTCTCTGAACGCTTGATATAATAAATTGCACACTGTTGCTTCAGAAATTAATATTTTTTTCCTTCTTTAGAAAGAACAAACATGTGTCTTATTACGTTGTAATAATGGTTTTAGAGCATGTTCGATGATTATCACATACAGAAAGTAGCGCCAAATGTTAAATTAGCAAAAATTAAACAATGTGGCATATAATTTTGATAGGCCTACAAAATACTAAAACGCTATAACTGTACGAATTACCAAAAGGTATATAACAGAAGAGCAGAGCATATACATATACTTGATCAATTTTAGAAATGAGCCAATATGACTCCTATTCTATACAAACATGTTATAATCAAATACATGTGTATTTCATTAAATACAATTACTATATTAACTGGCGTAAATAATGTTAACCAAAAGCCACGCCATTTTATGACAGAAATACGTGATAATTTTCATGATTTTGATTAATCGAAAACAAGCAAAAAAAATTGCCTCGGCTATTATCTATAATCCGAAGACTGACGGAAAGGGCCGAGTAGTTACGATTGTAGAATCTTCGATAATGTAAAACAAATGTATATATTTGACAGCCACAGGAAAATAAAGTATGTTTTGGTACAATTATGATTGAAGATATGTTTGAGAACCATTTTAAATTTAAATATAACCACTGATGTACAATTTTAAACAAATCAGACTTAATGTCAACAGATGGCATTTTGTACTTTCGGTTTCTACAACCATAATAATAAATATATAAATAATGTTTTGTTTACTTTTATATCTATAAATTTACTTATTTTAGGCAGACATTTAAATTGATATATTGGATAAAAACTCCAGCATTAAATTTTTATTTGTTTACATGTGTCCTTATCCGAAGACTGACGGAAAGGGCCGAAAATTTGCGATTTGAAAATCAGCCACGAAACAAGGAAGTTAAAACTTCAGCTGAAAAATGGCCGTAGACGGGCGTAAATTAAACCAATCTTTGTATCAAGGATCGGATATAGAACATGATTTTCCGTGTTCTCCTTGTACTAAAGAAGGGAAGAATGTGGCTGCTATCAAACATTGTGTGGAATGTGATGAAAATCTGTGTCAAAAATGTTTAGGTGATCACAATAAGTTTTCAGTAATGAGAGGACATCAGTTACTAGACACGGTAAAACAGCTGAGCGGGAAAAAGCAGGAATTACCAAGTCAGAGATGTGAGAGACACGGAGGAAAATTGATAGATGTCTACTGTCCTGGTCATGATAGGGTTGGCTGCTCAACGTGTATGACCGTTGAACACAGGTTTGAAAAATTCTACTTTCGGTTTCGTTGCATTGACAAGGAAATTAGTTTGATCCAACCAGGAAAAACAAATATTTAATAAATTAACACCCTCTTTATGTCGTCTTATAAGGTTGGCTGCTCAACGTGTATACCGTTGAACTTAGGTTTGAAAAATTCTACTTTCGGTTTCGTTGCATTGACAAGGAAATTAGTTTGATCCAACCAGGAAAAACAAATATTTAATAAATTAACAGCCTCTTTTTGTCGTCTGATTACGTTGGCTGCCGTTGAACACAGGTTTGAAAAATTCTACTTTAAGTTTCGATGCATGACATAAAAAATTTTGTCGGAAGAAAAAATATTAAAATAACAGCCTCTTTTTGTCGTCAAAATGAATTTATAGTATATTGTATCATTGGTCCAGAAATAGAAATAAACTTTCATTCAATATTTTCTTCAGAGTCTATCTACTTGTACGTTTTAACTCGAGGTAAAACGGCCATTTTAAACCTTTGAAAAATGGCAAAATCGCCATTCTCTATGTATTTTGAAGTTTAGATAGCTTCTAAAATTAAGGTTGAATACCTGTATCTCATTTTGTAACAGACATGTCGCCCTTGTCATTTATTTAATATTGATGTCCTGTTTAAAAAAAAAGAAATATAACAAAATTATAATTTATTGACAGACTGACAATAGTTTTTACCAGATGACTTTTAGCACAAAACCTTTAATAATTATTTCATATTGATTACTCCTATTGTCTCTTTTATTACAGTGGCTGTGAAGGAATAAGTTACATACCATTATATACTAGCATTTATAATACTGCACGTTTGTAACGTCGCTTTTCATTGGATAATCGTGACGTTTATATTATTAGTTATATACAATCTTTATAACGAATTTATAATACAACAAGTATCATTTTTTAGTGAAAAATGTAAATTTCTTCATGAATCGACAGCAGCCGTGTATATAAACTATATAAACGTCACGATTATCCAATGAAAAGCGACGTTACAAACGTGCAGTAGTATAATATTAGTTATAAAGATTTTTGACAGGTTATATGGCCCTATATAAACGGTTGTTTGTAGATATAACCCGCGCCGCTAGTTATATATATTGCAAACATCCGTTTTTTTATATAACCTGTCAGAAATATTTATAACGAATTTATAATTCAGCAAGCATCATTTTTAGAGGAAAAAGCGAGATTTATTTATTAATTGACAGCAGCCGTGTATATTATTAGTTATAAAGATTGTTGACAGGTTATATGGCCCTATATAAACGGCTGTTTGTAAATATAACCCGAGCCGCTAGGCGAGGGTTATATTGTAAACAGCCGTTTATATACGACCATATAACCTATCAACAATCTTTATAACGAATTTATAATACAGCAAACATCATTTTTTAGAGAAAAAAGTAAGATTTCTTCATGAATCGACAACAGCCGTGTATTATAATATTAGTTATAAAGATTGTTGACAGGTTATATGGCCCTATATAAACGGATGTTTGCAATATTTATAACCCGCGCCTAGCGGCGCGGGTTATATCTACAAACAACCGTTTATATAGGGCCATATAACCTGTCAAAAATCTTTATAACTAATAATATAAACATTAAATGCTTAAAATTTTTAATGTCTATTTCATTGCAGTGGTTGCAAAGGTATAAGTTACATACCAGACATAGCGTGTAAAACTGAAACCTCCGAGAAACTAAAACTTCTTGAAACTGAAGTAAACATTCTACAGTCTCGTTTCCATGCCTTAAAACAAAACAAGCAGAAAGAACTAGAAAATGTGAAGACAGAAAAACGTCGATTGATTAAAGAAATAAAATCAGAAAGGAAGAAAATTAACGACCATTTGGACAAGATGGAACAGGAACTTCTTCAGGAAGTGGATGTGACCTTTCAGACCAAACTGCAACATATAGAGTCTATTATGAAACAAGTTGATGAGAGGATCGCTGTACTACAAGAAAGTCTGAAGAAGATAAATGCAGCTAAACAGGAAAACGAATCTGAGAAATATGTACAGATCAAATTTGTCAGGGAGAAGAAGAAAATTGCAGGCAAAAGTTTAGAAGAGTTGGAGAGGTCTAGAAAAACAGGCACCATACGATTTGAGCCATACAGACCATCGCCTGATTCAGAATGCAACACCATTGGGAATGTACTTCACTTTCCAATGATTGAAGTAGACAAGTGTGCTGAATTTAATGCGCGACTTAAGTATGACAAGGAGTTATGCAAAATTTATGGCATGTGCATGTGTGAAGACAGATGCATTATTATGACCGATTATAACAATAAATGTGTAAAGAAAATGAATGATTCCTTCCAGATCGTATCTTCGCTGAAAGTCGATGATAATCCTGGTGGTATTTGTCAGATAGACTCGTCACTGCTGGCTGTTACTCTGATGAATGACAAGACAGTTCAGTTTATCTCCCAGACAGAACCAATGAAGTTACAACAGTCCTTCAAAGTCGGTGATAGATGTCGGGGTATTGCATACAATGACGGGATGATTTATGTTTGCTGTGGCGGATATAAGGATCGTGATGAAGGCATTGGCCATCTGGAGGTATATACTGTTTCTGGGAAATTGATTTTATCTCATTATAATGAGATTACATGGCCTGCATATATAACGATTTCAAACACTACTATGGAGGCATTCGTGACCGACGTAAATAAAGGTATCATTAACATCAATAAAAACGGAAGCATGAAGCCCATAACTGTAGATAACAAAATATTCATGAATCCTAGAAATATTTGTAAGATAAACAAAAGTCAGTATTGTGTTGGTTTTTATACGACACACAATTTTCTTTTGATGTCACATGACGGGAAGGATCAGGTAGAACTCCCAATAAGAGAAGATGGTTTAAAAAATCCTATCTGTTTATGTTTTGATAACAAAACTTCAAGACTTGCAGTCTCCTACTGGGAAAGTGACAAAATCATGGTTTATACTTTAAAGATAAGTGACTGATTTGTCATAAAACAAAGTACATTGTACCGCTAACGTAAAAAAGGTGTATCACTGAAAACGTTTGTTATTGGTAAAGAAGTGGCGAAATATATTTTTTATTATGAACTATATACAATCCACTTACTTTATATATGTACCTATATATATGTCAGCATTTTATAAATGCATATTGTTTTTAAAATGATTACGAGTGTGCCTCATTGTTTAATTAGATTACTAGTACTTTAAAATAAGAACACACAGTATAATATACTAACATGTTAATAAAGCAACAGGCTGATTCCATATTATAATCTTTATATCTATTTTCTGACATCTGTTATAAGAAATTTTGTTTCAAGAAGTTGCAGTAGTAATATCTGTCCCGTTTCAATACAATCATGAGAAGAGAACCTGAACGATTTGTAAATTATATTACACAGACACTTAAGGATTGTTCTAGTGTACTGTGTATGTCTTTTTATTTTAGTACAATTAAATCTGTCTTACAGCACAAGTGTCTCGGTTATTTCTCAATTAAGAGACAAGCTTGTTTAGTATGGTTGTGATTTTCTGCCATTTCTTAATTTGTGATCAACCCTTGAAAGTCGAAGCGGGAAAACACGAATACAGGATAATTTGCTCACTTATCACGTCTTCGCCTGCGACGTTTTAGGTGTTAGGGCGACGACAAGAAGATACGATTAATGTTAGACGAAATAACGACATTTTAAGGCGAACTATGTTTAGTAAACAAGAGAGGTTAAAACATAAAAATAACATATTTAAGATATGAGAGTGTGTCAGTGTTAAAGGGGCAGTAATCAGATATATAACAAGAACTGTTGGAGGACAGTAAGGCTCGACTATTCGAAAAAGTTGTCACAAGGTGTTTTATTGAGTATAATAATGCTTACGTACGAATACATAAAATTGACCGAAAAAAAGTACAAAGGCTTGTTCTTAAGATGTTTTATCAAGTAAATCACGGCTTTATTATTATGAATGCATAAAATTGTCCCAAAAAAGGCAGAAACCCTTCAGTAGTTGAAGATAACAGCTTACAAGCAAAACTTTACCATGAATTTCTAAGTTGAAAAAGGGGAGAAAAATCAGCCTAAATGAAAGATAGAATTATAGATCTTTGTCAGTGACCTACAATTATGACCCTAAATGCATATGTGAAGTTTTAAATAAATATCTTTAATAGTTATTGAGATATGTAAAACTTGCATGTAAACATTAACCAAGAGACTAAGTAGAAAAGGGGAGATAAATCAGCCTAATGCAAGATCTATAGAGTTATGGAACTTGGTCAGTGACATACATTTATGACCCTTCATACGCATACATATGTGAAGTTTCAAATCAAAATCTCTGATAGTTATTGAGATATGTAAAACTTACATGTAAACATTAACCATGAGACTAAGAAAAAAGGGGGAGATAAATCAGCCTTAATACATGACACAGATATGAGTGCTGTTCAGTGATCATTATCTATGACCACAAATATACATATGAAGTTTTAATTTTGTATCTTTAATAGTTTCAGAGATATGCAAAACTTGCATGTTAAACTTAACCAAGAAAAGGAGATTTTTTTAGTACAAAAGGGAGCATAATTCTGTCAAAATACATGGCAGAGTAATGAATCTTGAGATGTTACCTTCAATTATAACCCCTAGTACATGTGTAAAGTTTCAAGTAAATATCTTTGAAGACCTTTAACCAAAATTTCTAAGTTTCAAAGGGGCAAATAATTCTGCAAATATTGCAGGCAGAGTTATACAAATTTGCAAAATGATGTACATTGTTACTATAAATAAGTATTGTAAATTTCAATTGAATATCTCAAGCAAAAATTGAGATATTTGACTTAACAAAAAAACTTTAACCAAAATTTCTAAGTTAAAAAGGGGCATAATTCTGTAAATAGTGTAGGTAAAGTTATCCAACTTGTCAATCTGAT